TGGAATCAAATTTCACAAGCAATGCACGCTTATCCGAAATCGCGAGTTTTCGTGAAAATTGATGAAATTCGGTCAAATCCAATAAATAAACTTTAACTATTGAACTGGGATTTGTTGTTTTTTTTTTTTTTTTTTTTATACATACATAATCTATCAAGTTTACTGTCATGGTTACTTTGGTATTAATCGAGAGGTAATAGTAATTTCCCATTATTTATGTGTGTGTGTATGGGAACATCGTGTGCCGTAAACCCGATACAGTTTTAATATGCTGTTAAGTTTATTGATCTGTCCTTTGTGGGTGATGTTACATTGAAATTCCATTTGGGGTAAGAACGGATATTTTACAGTATTAGTTGAAGCGATATGACTTGAAAAAAATACAATAAGTTTTTCGAGAAGTTTTTGTGGATAAAACATCGTTTGCCCGTTCGTAAATTACGGATGCGACGGAATCGCCATCAAATGTCTCTCACTTGCCTTATTTTTAAAATTACGGTAATGCTTGACGCGGCGATAGATCGAAAGCACCTTGTCGTTTTAATTTTCTCTTTGAAATATTTTTCCTTTTCTCACCGCTATTCATCAATATTCCTTAAAATTGCGCCTGTGACAATAAGTGAGATCGAATTCCCCCGCAGTGCGTGCCGTAGGGGAGAGCAGAGAAAGTGCGCGGTATATAATTTTTTGCCCATTGTTTTGTACCTTCATACGTAGGTATACAGATGATCCCGGCTATTTGTGCTTGTGTCTCGCAAAAGCAAAGCATCGCATTCAACCTCACTGTGGGCATGCATATTTATGCTCTATTATACCGTACACCGTCTGACTTTGATTCCTTTTTTTTTTTTTTTTTTTTTTTTTTTTTTCATCTTGCGCCTACTTGGATCGATTTTCCCTTTCGGTGCATTTCTTTATTCAACAGAAGTGAACACGAAAACGGTCCCACTGCCAAGAAATTCATTCCCTAATCGACAAATCAACATTTGTTTGCCCAAGAGTAAGAAACGTTATTTTTATAAAAACCCAGGAAAACTTATTGAAATTCGTAGTTTCAGTGTTCAAAAAAGACTGAAAATTCATAAAATTTGCATCAATACAGCATAAATCGGTATCGATTCCAATAATTTTTGTTGTATCTCACCTATCCAGCGCTCATGCTTTTCACTTGAATATCTGAAAAAAAAAAAAAAAAAAAAAAAAAAAAAAAAAAAAAAAAAAAAAA